ATGACATCTTAAATTACCTTTACCTTGCAATGTATCATTAGCTTCTTTCTGCAATTGCACGATAATTAGATACTTAGCAGTAGGATTCTTCACCTTCCCCCATAATCTCTGTGTAGATAACCTCTGTGCTACTACTAACTTGACATGAGCCAGAGACATCCAGGAAGAGGAAACAACTGGGAAAATGCATCCATCAGATTTACCTGTATGCAAATCTATCGGGGCATTTCTTCATTAAATGATTGATGTGAAAGGGCTCAGGCCACTGTAGGCAATCACACCCTTAACCCAGTGGTCCTGGGTGGTATAAAAAAGCAAACTGAGCCCGGCGGCGGTGGTGGCGCACGCCTTTAATCCCAGCACTCGGGAGGCAGAGCCAGGCGGATCTCTGTGAGTTCGAGGCCAGTCTGTGCCCTCTGCAGAGGGAATTCCAAGACAGTCAGGGCTGCACAGTAAAACTCTGTCTTGAAAGCTCCTCCCACACTGAGAGAGAGAGAGAGAGAGAGAGAGAGAGAGAGAGAGAGAGAGAGAGAGAGAGAGAGAGAGAGAGAGAGAGAGAATGCAAACTGAGTAGGGCATGAACAGCAAGCCAATAAGCAATGTTCTTCCGAGGCTTCAGTTCCAGCGTCCGGGTTCCTGCCTTTGACTCCGATCTGGATGCGTAAGTCAAATAAACCCTTTCCTTCCCAAACTGCTTTTGGACATGGTGTTTTAATCACAGCAGCAAAAAGCAAATTACCCTCCGTGTATTGAAACTGGACTTTGAAGAAAGCATTCGTAATTCCAAGCAATCTTCCCGTGACTAAGATGGCAGGAATATCATTACTCTAACAGGAGTTTAAAGGATTGTTTAAGGGTTCCTGGAAGAAAGAACAGGGTAAAACACTGTGCCTAGTGCTTTCTAGCCGGTTTCCCTCTCCCTGATATCTGCTGTGTGTCAGTGAGACCACCTGGCTGGACCTGGCCTCTCAGTGGAAAACCCAGGGTGAGCAAGCATCTTATTCCCTTCGTTTCTTTTCTGTTGAGAGTCATAATGGTGTTTCCTCTGGGCCAACGTGAACTAGTCATTTTGTTTCAGTTAGTGACTGTCCACGACCATTTTCTACATCATGGTAGAAAGCTGAAGTCCTTAGGGAGATCTTTCAGTCCCGTGTTGCGGGCTTTTTTTTTTTTTTTTTTTAAATTTAAATGTAACATATATCAGTTTTTTTTTTTTTTTTTTTGGTTTTTCGAGACAGGGTTTCTCTGTGTAGCTTTGCGCCTTTCCTGGGACTCACTTGGTAGCCCAGGCTGGCCTCGAACTCACAGAGATCCGCCTGGCTCTGCCTCCCGAGTGCTGGGATTAAAGGCGTGCGCCACCACCGCCCGGCTTTTTTTTTTTTTTTTTTTTTTTGCCTGCAGGTACGTATGTGCACTATATGGGTGCTGTTACCCTCAGAGGCCAGAAGAGGACCCGGACGAGCTGTTCTGGTGCTTTCCTGTTCTCAAATGACACAGTAGGAACACTGGCTGTGAACTGTTTGTAGATACGGCTCTGGCGACCGTCAGGTTCTGCTCCCGTGTAAATGGTCAGAAGGATGAGCATACACAGAATCCGTTTTTTAGCTTTTCATCTCTAACCCTAACCCTCCTAGCTTTACCTTTAAAGTCTGGGACTACAGGTGTGCTCTACCATGCTTGGCATATCCACCTTTCTTCGCATAGCCAGGGCAACCTATCCTTAATGCATTGGTAACCCTTGATTGAGCCAACGTACAACAATTGCAACCCCTCTTGCCTGTGGTTTATTTTAGGCAACAGCATGTGTGGCAATTTTGTTCAATGAAAAATGAAAGAAAACTATTGGAACCTTCTGGAAAGTTTTCCTAAACCTTAAAAAAAAATAATAAGCAAAGTCTAGTCTCTTTACACACACACACACACACACACACACACGGTCTTTTTCATTTGTTTTGAAACAGGATCTCTCTTTGTAGCCCAGGCCTCCATGTTGAGTCCCAGGATTACAGGCATGTACTATCAGGCTCGGCTCTTCTTCTGAGATCTTAGTCTGGGATAAAATGTGCAGAACACAGAACGGAAAGATGCAATGATGCTGAGCCCATAGTGACTGACTGTATCAGCCACCAACTTAAGGAATCCTGGAGTCTCTCTCCAAACATGTAATATAGTGCATCTGCGTTGTTAGATACAGAGGTAATGTTTCAATTGTCACACACTCTAGCCTAGCAGTTTGTAACCTGTAGGTCACCTAAGACCATTGGAAAACACAGATATTTACATTACAATTCATAGCAGTAGCAAAATTATAGTTGTGGAGTAGCAACAAAACTAATGTTATGGTTGGGGAGGGGATCACCACAATATAAGGGACTGTATTAAAGGGTCACCGCCTCAGGAAGGTTGAGAACCACTGCTCTGGCAGGATTCGGTGCTCAGGTGCTAACTTTCTTTTGTTGTTGGTGGGGTTTTTTTTGTTGTTGTTGTTGTTTTTTCGAGACAGGGTTTCTCTGTGTAGTTTTGGTGCCTGTCCTAGATCTCGCTCTGTAAACCAGGCTGGCCTCGAACTCACAGAGATCCGCCTGAGTCTGTCTCCCGAGTGCTGGGATTAAAGGCGTGCGCCACCACCGCCCGGCAACTTTCTTTATCTTTAGTAAAGCTTCCAGATCAACTGATGAGTTTCTCTAAAGAAGAATCCTTTACTCTTTTTCTTTGAGAAACCTCTGTTTTTTGCTTGCCTTTCCCCACGGCAGATGGTGAAACCCCTAGACCAGACATCTTACTTATTAGGATCTTCATCTAGACTTTCAGTTAATCCTTCCCTTTTAGACCCCACGTACCCTACCGTAGTCTGGCAGATTCAGTGTCTGAAGGTCCTATGTTTCCTTGGTAGACCTTACAGGGCCAATCAGATCCCTCTTCAACAGCAGCTTATTCTGCCCAGTGCTGGACTATGCCTCATCCATTCTATGTCATGACGCGCCCCCCACCCCACCCCCACAAGCACCTACTTCATGGTTTTCTGACTTTCAGATAGAAAAGGCCTTATAGCTCACATCCCCTGAAGCCTTGCTCCAATTCTGTGTGTTGTAGACCGCCGATTTTCAGTTTTTCACCGCCATTATGTTGACAAGGTTCTAGGAGCTTGCTGGGGTCTCCATCCTTATATCTGAGTGACTAAGGAGGGACCAAGATAAAGGTCATGGGTGGAATCAACTGGGCTGAGAGTTCTAAATGGAACCCTGGTACACAACTGTTCCATGTCAGAACCAGTAGATCTCTCAAAACTTGAAGTGGATGAGGCAGAAGGTAGGTTATTTCTTTATGGACTCTCTCTCTCTCTCTCTCTCTCTCTCTCTCTCTCTCTCTCTCTCTCTCTCTCTCTCTCCTGTTTGTGTTTGTGTGTAATGTTAAAGAATTGAACCCAGGCTTGTGAGTGCCAAACAAGTACTCTATCACTGAGCCACATTCCCCAGTACACATAGGAACTTTCTTTTAAAAGGGCATATTTCTAATTATGTATATATAGCCTGTGTAGGGGTTTGTGCACTTGTGTGCGGACGCCTTCAGACACCAGAAGAGGACACCAGACTGCATGGAACTGGAGTTACAGATAGTTGTGAGCCTCATGATGTGGGTGCTTGGAACCAGTCCTCTGGCAGAGCAGGATACACTCTTAACTGTGGAGCTGTCCCTCTAGCTCCCACAGAGATACTTTTTAAGGTGCACAGATATTGTTGAAGACTTGATCTCTAACTGTTGATATCTCTAGGCTGGCCCAGGTGGAAGATGGAACTGGCTAAGTTTCTTTAAAAAATATAATTCAGCCGGGCGGTGGTGGCGCACGCCTTTAATCCCAGCACTCGGGAGGCAGAGCCAGGCGGATCTCTGTGAGTTCGAGGCCAGCCTGGGCTACCAAGTGAGTTCCAGGAAAAGGCGCAAAGCTACACAGAGAAACCCTGTCTCGAAAAACCAAAAAAAAAAAAAATATATATATATATATATAATTCACGCCGGGCAGTGGTGGCGCATGCCTTTAATCCCAGCACTCAGAAGGCAGAGCCAGGTGGATCTTTGTGAGTTCAAGGCCAGCCTGGTTGAGATCCAGGACAGGTTCCAAAGCTCCACAGAGAAACCCTGTCTCAAAAAACCAAATATATATATTATATATATAATATATATCACTTATACCTTTTATTAAAACGTTTTATTACATATATTTAGTAGAGAGTGTGTGTGTGTGTGTGTGTGTGTGCGTGCACCACAGCACATGTGGAAATCAGAGGATCTCCTTCAGGAGTCAGTTCTCTCTTTTTACCATGTGGGGCCCAGGGATGGAACTCGAGTTATCAGGCCTGATGACAAGCAGCGGAGTCACATGGCTGCCTTCCATTCAGTGTCTCAACACCAGAAAGTCTGTGTGTCTGCTCTGACTTTGAACTCACAACGGTCCTCCTGAGTGCTAGGATTACTGACACGAACAATCACAAATCGCTTTCTGATGCCTTTTAAAAACTATCCTTGGTAGCAGCCTCGGGCCACGATTGCCTGCCTGGCATAGCTAAGTTCCTCCTGATGCACCAACTAACATTTGCCTATGTTTATGTTCTGGCTACAAATGAGCACAGATATCTTTTTTCTTTTCTTTTCCTCTGTCTCTCTCTCTGTCTCTCTTTTTGAGACAGGGTCACACTGTGTATCCGTGGCTGGCCTGGAACTCAATATATAGATCAAGGTGGCCTCAAACTCACAGAGATCCACTTGCCTCTGCTTCTTGAGTGCAGGAATTAAATCATGGGCCATCACACACTGCCCTAAAAATTTCTCTTTAACAAAGGGCTCATCTTTTTTTTTTTAATTTTATGTATATGAATGTTTGCATGCATGTATGTATATGTACCACATGCATGCTGGTGCTCTCAGAGGCCAGAAGAGGGCGTCAGATCCCCTGGAACTAGGGTTACAGATGGTTGTGAGCTACTATGTGGGTGCTGGGCATTGAACCCCTGTCTTTTGCAAGAGCAACAAGTGCTCTTAACCACTGAACCATTTCCCCAGCCCCAGTGAGAGGCTGGTCTTTAGTGAAGTTGGAAAACTCTCTTAATTTTGTTTGTTTATTTATTGTTTTTCAAGAGTTTCTTTGTGTAACAGCTCTGGCTGTCCTGGAACTCGCTCTGTAAGCCACAGAGATCTGTCTGCCTCTGGACATCCTATAGTGCATAAAGACGGCTTAGTACAAAGATGTACTTGGTCCAAAGTGTCAGCAACGTGCTGCGTCAGGGACCCCACCGTGAAAATGAAGATAAAAAGAACAGTGGTGTCCATCCCAGAACTGTGTATACGTCACTGAAAATAAAACAGCTGAACTTTAAAACCGTTAGGCGCTTTGAATTCTCACCTACGGCTGTGGTAATTCCTTTTCAGATTTCCTGTTTTCCCTTCCCAGGTCTCATGGCAGAATGGAGGAGTTCCTTGGCACCACGCCTTTTTACTCTGGGCCCATGTATTTCTTTGATCAGGTAATACTGTTGCTCATTTAAACCAAGTATACTTTTTAAAAGATTTTTCATTGTTTATCTTATGTGCGTTGATGTTTTGCCTGGGTGTGTGTTTGTGTGAGGATGTTGGATCCCCTGGAACTGGAGTCACAGACAGTTGTGAGCCAATAATTGCTGAGTTATCTCTCCAGCCCCAACAAAGCGCAAATGTTGTACATACGCTGCTCTGAATATACATGTGTGCACATGTGTGTGGTGGCCAGAAGTGCTAGTCCTCAAACACTGCCCACTTTTTAAAAAATTATTCACTTTATATGTAAGAGTGTTTTGCCTGCATGTGTGTCTGTGTACCACATGTGTGCCTGATACCCACAAAAGCTAGAGTTATAGATGGTTGTGAGCCATTATGTGGATGCTAGGAACTAAACCCAGGTCCTTTAGAAGAGTAGCCAGTACTCTTAATCACTGAGCCGTCTCTCTAGCCCCATCTTGGTTTTTGAGACTGAGTCTCTCACTGGCCTGGAGCTCATCAAATAGGCTAGGCTGGCTGTAATCTGAGCCCCAGGGATCCTCTTGTTTCAACCTCCCCAGCACTGGGCTTACAGGAGCATGCCACCATACACACACACACACACACACACACACACACACACACACACACACACACTCACACATGGGTTCTGAGGCTTGAGCTCAGCTCTCATGCCTACATGGCAAGCACTTTACCAATTCGGTAGTGTCCCCAGCCCTTACGACTCACTTTTTGAAAACCCATTCACCTTTAACCAGCATGTGCCTCCACCTTGTAATCACAAACTTTTGTTTTTGCTTTAGTTCAAACCGAAAATAAGAAGATGGAAAAAGGAAACACAGGAAGATCAATTCTTGTACCCAAAGGAGAAGGATGAGTAAAGCATTTGGAATTCCTCTTTAACTTCTGTTCTTTACATTTGCAAAGGCTTGTCATGCAAGGCTGAACACCTGGGTTTCCACTTCCTCACTTCCCCAGAAGTTACACCAAGGAGTCACCACTACAGACCCCACCATGGCTGTACTCAACAGTTGACTTAAGCATATTCATCACATTATATGTGATGAAACACATCACTGGTTTCTTCATGATTTTGCAGCAAACCAACCCTATCCCTGCCTTGGGGAGTCTGCTCTAGATGTTACCTCTGCTTTCTGCATGGCTTACTGCCTGCCCCCTGTCTCCTTAGGCCCTCCTTAAATACCATCTTTGTGATGAGACTCATTTGGATTTAGACTGCCATTCTCTTCCTACCTTAGCACTCTGTGTCTCATTTCCTACCTTAATTTTTCCGTTGTGTCCTGGTATTGTAAATGACATTTGTAGACCAGGCTGGCCTCAAGCCCACAGAGAGATCTGCCTGCCTCTGCCCCGCCTCACCCACAAGTTCTGGAATTAGAGACATGTACCTCCACACCCATCACTGGTTATCTTCTTCCTTCTTTCAAGAGAGTACGTGGTCTTTAAGGATGGCTGTAGGTTTTTTTGTATGTTTGATCGCTTCTCTATCCCCAGTCTCTCAAATTGCACTTGGAGTAAAGAACATTCTTAATAAAGAGTTGTGATTGACAATCACGGAGTGTGTCAAGCTCAGAAAGATGAATGAAATAATGGAAGTAGACATTTCACCTTTTAACTCTCTAGATGCTATAATTTCTTTATTTGCAAAGCAGAAATAAAATCACTTATCTGTATTTTTCCAGTGTTGAAGTTCTAGTCCAGAACCTTGAACATCTCAGGTGAGTGTTTATCCTAAAAACCACACCCCAAACACTTCCAACATGTTTGAATTAATTAGTCCAGAATTACTAATTTTATAAAGAAAAGGTTTATTAATTAATTATTATTGTTGTTGTTGTTATTGTTTTGAGAGAGGGTTTCTCCGTGTACCTCTGGCTGTCCTGGACCGCTCTCTCTGTAGCCCAGGCTGGCTTCTAACTCACAGAGATCCACCTGCCTCTGCCTCCTGAGTGCTGGGATCAAAAGCACACGCCACCACCACCACCACCAGGCTGAAAAGAGGGTTACGTGGCCTACATTTTCAGAGCTTCAAGGGCACGGTTCTGGTATCAGCTCAGTTCTCTGCTGTGTCACAGTCTGGTTCAGGGCAACAAGTGACATCACAGACGAGGACCAGAGAGAAGGAGCAGGGCATAGCCTGGCCCACTGTACAGCAGTCCTCTTAGGAGAAATCAAGGGATTTCGTGAAAAGTACTAGGAAGTCCATAAAATTATTTCAAGCACACAATGACCATCAGGCTCAGCAAGATTTTTTTTTTTAATTTTACTTTTACAAACATTCTGATAAAAATGTTATAGAAATAATTTATATATTCAAAGAAAAGCGAAAACTATGATCATATTAAAGGACGTAAAATAAAAGACCCACTCTCATTTTCTTAATTAATTAAATTTTGTCATTTATTTTACATACCAACCTCAGTTTCTCTTTCCTCCTTTCCTCCTGTTCCCAATCCAACATCCTCCCTCCCTCTGCCTCCCATCTACCACCCTTTCCCTACACTCCTCCTCAGTCTCTGCGGTGACATACTGTACCCTAATAAAATTTGCCTGAAGATCAGAGAACAGAACAAGCCACTAGACTAAACATAGAGACCAGGCAGTGGTGGTATACACCTTTAATCCCAGCACTGGGAGGCAGAGATCCGTCTGGTTCAAAGCCACCCTGGAACGAGATTGACTCAGTCTAGGAGAGAAACAGAGCCCTCTACAGAGTGGTGGCACACACCTTTAATCCCAGTACTTGATAAAGCACACACCCTTTAATCCCAGCACTAAGAAGGAAGAGATGGCTGGCTGGAGAAAGGTCTACAAAGCACGAGGAGACAGGAACTAAGGCTTTTCGGCTGAGAAAGCCCTTTTGGCTAGAACCTGTTTTCAGGCTGAGGAGTCCTAGAGGTAAGGCGCGGCAGTGGTTTGTTTCTCTGTCTCTCTGATCTCTCAGCATCTGCCCCAATATCTGGCTCCAGGTTTTATTATAAGACCTTTTAAAATTCGGGCAAAAAGTCTCCATTCAGAAAGGGGCGGGCCTCTCACGGGCATCAACGAAGCGTGGTACATCGAGTGGAGGCAGGACCAAGTCCTCCCCCTGCATCAAGGCTGGGCGAGGCATCCCAGCATGGGGAATAGGTTCCCAAAGGCCAGCTCATGCACCAGGGACAGGTTCTAATTTCACTGCTAGGAGCCTTACAAACAGATTAAGCTTCACACATGCAGAGGGCCTAGGTTAGTCCCATGCAGGCTCTCTAGCTGTCGGTCCAGAATCTGTGAGCTCCTATGAGCCCAGGTCAGTTTTTAATTTTTTTCTTTTTCTTTCTCTCCCCCCCCCCCCCCCCCCCGGAGCTGAGGACCGAACCCAGGGCCTTGTGCTTGCTAGGCAAACGCTCTACCACTGAGCTAAATCCCCAACCCCCTATTTTTTTTTTTCTTTTTAATGTGTGTTGGTGTTTTTGTCATGAGTGTCAAGTCCCCAGGAACTGGAGTTACAGACACTTGTGAGCGGCCATGTGAGTGCTGAGAATTGAACCTGGGTCCTCTGGAAGAGCAGTCAGTGCTCTTAACTGCTGAGCCATCTCTCCAGCCCCTTCTCTGCAAGATTTTTATCATTTAAAAACTAATATACAGGGGCTACAGAGGTGGCTCAGTGGTTAAGGGAGCTTTCTGCTCTTGTATAAGACCAGAGCTTGGGGATTGAGATTCCTCAGCTCTGGGGGAAAAAAAAAACAAAAAACAAAAACAGAGCTTGGTTCCCAGAACCCATGTTAGGTGGCTCATAAACACCTGTTACTCCAGGGGCTCCAACACCCTCTTGGAACCTCTGTAGGCACCTGCACGTGTGTGCGCAATCATACACATAGACACACACATAAATAAATAATAAAATAACCACCCCAAAGAAACCAATATGTAACATTATACATAAGCATATAAGTAGAACATGGTGATGTGTGCCTGTAACCCCATCACTAGGGAGGCTTGAAGCAGGTTTGCTGCGAGTTTGAGCCAGCTTGGGCTTTAGTGTGAGTCTCTGTCTCCACCTATAAAACACAGCAAAAGTTATAAAAAAGTATTTATGTTATAGTATAGACTAAATGTATACTAACATGTATGTAATATATACCAAATGTCTACAATATAGGCTATATGTTATCTAACATATACAAACCAAAGGCTGTGGGATATCTGCAGTAAGAGAGTTTATTGAGCCAGACAGATACCACCAGCTGGGGCAGGGGGAGAAGGCAAGGTCCCCAGCAGTTTCTGCAGTCATATGGAGCCCGGCTACGCAGTGGTTGAAAAGTGTCCACTAGACCCAGAGCTAGGAACGCTTGTCTGTAGCTAGAGTTTTTCTCTCCAGTCCCGCCAAGCCCCGGCAGCCCACTTACAAAATAAACACACAGACGCTTATATTATTTAAACTGTTTGGCCTAATGGCTCAGGCTTCTTGCTAACTGTTCTTACATCTTAAATTAACCCATTTCTATTAATCTTTAAGTTGCCACATGGCTCATGGCTTACCGGTACCTTACGTCTCACTTGTCATGGCAGCGTCTCTCTGACTCAGTCTCCCACTTCCCAGAATTCTCTTCTCTGCTTGTCCCGCCTATACTTCCTGCCTGGCTACTGGCCAATCAGAATTTTATTTATACAAAGCAATATCCACATCACTTGTCCAATGAATATTGGGAGAAAGAAAGAGATTCTAACTGTTTTGTATTGTTTTGGTTTTTGGTTTTTCGAGACACCGTTTCTCTGTGTATCCCTGCCTGTCCTGAAACTTGCTTTGTAGACCAGGCTGACCTCGAACTCACAGAGATCCGCCTGCCTCTGCCTCCTGAGTGTTGGGATTAAAGTGTTTTGTTAAGAAGGCTCCACCAAATAAATGAGAGAAAAAGAAAAGTAGCTGAGGGGACCCGTAAGCTGTGGCTATTGAGCACACCCTGGGGACCAGTGAGTGGGGCAAGACCACAGACTCTGAGGCAGGAGGACACCCAAAGGAGACAGTCCAGAAAGTGTCTACGTAATGGACGCAGTGGCTCTGTGGTCAGCTATGATGGGACGCAAGTCCGGTTACTTCCGTCGGTTCAGTCTACAGCCCTGCCCTTCAATGGTTAATTTTCCATTGTCTGTCCTCTGGCCTTTGTGATTAAATTCAGTATATCTCATAAATTTTCTTTTATTATATACTTTCACTTATGTATAAAGGTATCACAGCTGTGTGGATGTTTGTAGGGATATGTGTGTATATCCCAACTTATGGACTGAGTCAAGTAAGGCAGGAATCTTAATTCACTAAGCAGATCTTCCTCCATTTAATCCTGGTGCATTTTTACATTAACTAAAATTGATGGCAGCAACAGATAGCTTATAATCTCATTTTTGGCTAGTTTTGCTTTTCTGCTTTTCATTATGGAAACTGTCTTCTAACATATCTTCCATCTAATTTTCTCTTTATGTATATGGAATAGCTGTCAAAGCCATCTATAAAGTTATTGATTTTAGATGTTACTGATTAGTTATTATTATGTTTTTCAACTTCATGGTTTCTTTTTTTTTCTTTTTTTCTTTCTTTTTTTTTTTTCCTTCAGAGCTGAGGACCGAACCCAGGGCCTTGCACTTAGCAAGTGCTTTACCACTGAGCTAAATCCCCAACCCCAACTTCATGGTTTCTGTTTGGTTTTTTTCCAAATATGTATGTGTGCAGTTTCTAGTGCTTTACAAAAATACTCATCTTTAAAATTTCCTTGAAAAAACGGTTGTTTTAGGATCCACATCTCCCTGTACTTTTATTTTTATTAGTTGATGTTCTGAAATTAGTTTCCACTGAGATTTAAACCTGGTTCTGCCTGTTGCCACTTGCTTGAGAAGAACACTTTGGATCTACCTTCATTCAGCCTCAGAAAGTGAGATCACTTGGAACTGTATTTAAAAATGCTGGTCTAGGTTTATTAGGCAATTTCTTTTCCTTCTCTTCTCCCTTCCTCTTTCCCTTCCTTCCTTCCTTCCTTCCTTCCTTCCTTCCTTCCTTCCTTCCTTCCTTTCTTCCTTCTTCCTTCCCTCCCTCCTTCCTGTCTATCTGAGGTACAGCTCTTTGAGTCCCAACAAGTTACTTTCTCAAGGATTCTGGGTATCAAATATTGAGCCATTGCCCCCCACAACACTATTGGGAAGACCCAATCACTCTCTAAGCTTCTCTGATATTTCTCTAGAATTGGTGAATTATTTTGCACCCCACCCTTCATCTGCAGAAGTGTGAGGTGGATTTCAGCATTATTATTATTATTTTGGATTGCCACCTTCTCTCAGACATTGGATAGCACTTCTTCATATTCTTGTTAGGTCACTACAGTTTTTAAAAAATGTCTAAAATTTATTTTCTTAAAGATTTATTTGTTTTTACTTTATGAGTATGAGTGTTTGCATGCTTGTATTTATGTGCTCCACGAGTATCCAGTACCCATAGGGGCCAGAAGAGGGCAGCAGATACATTGGAACTGGAGTTACAGCTGGTTGTTAGCTGACATGTGGGTGCTCAGAATAGAATCCGGGTCCTACTTAACTATTGAGCTGTATCTCTAGTCCTTAGGTTGAGTCCCCAGGACCCATGCCTGGCAGCTCACAACACAACTGCAGGTCTAGGGAGGTCTGATGCCTGTGGCCTTAGGGGGCTACACACACACACACACACACACACACACACACACACACACACATACACACACACACACACACACACACACACACACACACACACACACACACTTTAAAAATAATAAAAACCACTGGGCAGCGGCGGCGCACACCTTTAATCCCAGCACTCGGGAGGCAGAGCCAGGCAGATCTCTGTGAGTTCGAGGCCAGCCTGGTCTACAGAGTGAGATCCAGGACAGGCACCAAAACTACACAGAGAAACCCTGCCTTGAAAAACAAACAAAACAATAATGATAATAATAATAATAACCTTCTAAAATATTAAATGACTTGTTCTCAGCCCTCGTTGTCCTACTATATGCTGTAGGACATTAGAAGTTATCCCTCCCAGCCAACCACACTGCAACCTGTTCCCTCTAATCTCCCTCTTCCCATCCCTACCTTCCACCATCCTCAGGCACTTTCTGGGATTTTGAATGTTTTTAATACAAAGAAATGATAAACAACTGGGAGGATAAATATATCAGTTGCCCCCATCTAATAATTACGTATTGTACGAAGTAACATTGTGTGACTGTTAGAATGGCACATTAATGTTCACAACTTCTACATGTCAACTGAAGAATTCTAAAAATATGCTTTGTTCAGCTCCTCCAGTTATCCTCTATGGAAACATTTCTTTGAAATACCCATGTGCTCTAGCCAAGAGGGGAAGACCAACTGGGCATGTCAGTGGTTGCCTATAAACCTAACACGAAAAGATAGGGCTGGAGACATGGCTCAGTGGTTAAGAGCATTGGCTGCTCTTCCAGAGGACCTGGGTTCGATTCCCAGCACCTACATGATAGCTCACGTCTATCTGTAACTTCAGTCTCAGGGGATCCAGCGCTCTTGTCTGGCCTCTGTGGGCAACAGGCATGCATGTGATACACAGATATACATGCAGGCAAAACACCCATATGCATAAAGTAAATAAATTAAAAAAGAAAGAAAATAAAAATGATAAAGACTAACACTAAAAGGAAGACCATTTCACTTAAAGCATAGTATATGTTGGCTCTGCTTATGGGCCTGTGTCTATTGCATGGTTTAGAAATTTAATATAATATCCTAACATATGACTGAAATGTGTAGGACAGACTGAGGAACAGCAGAACATATCTGAAGTCTAGTAAGAAATTCAGGAGCTGGGGGTGTGCTTTAGATATGGTATTTACCCAGTATGCTTGAGGTCCTGGTTTGAACACCCCAAACCCCCACACAAAAAAAATTCAGGGAACACTTTTTGGAGAAAGTCTCTGTTATGTCTTTTTTTTTTTTTTTTTTTTTTTGGTTTTTGGTTTTTGGTTTTTGGAGACAGGGTTTCTCTGTGTAGCTTTGCACCTTTCCTGGAACTCACTTGGTAGCCCAGGCTGGCCTCGAACTCACAGAGATCCGCCTGCCTCTGCCTCCCTGTGTTGTGTCTTATAATTAAACAAATGAATAAACAAAACACACTGTGTTTAGTCATGTGTGTATTAATATGATAAATATTTTATGTAAAAGGTTTGAGAAGTATAAAAGAAGAAAATTTTATATTATTATTATTATTATTATTATTATTATTATTATTTTGAGACAGTGTCTCTAATAAAGGTATGTGCCATCACACCTGGTTTAAAGAAGGGACAATTAAATGACTCAGTCCACTCTTTGGTGGACACTGGCTTAGTCTTTTTATTATCAAATACGCTGTATACTTACATATACCCATACAGTCGTATCCTATATTTGAAGTCCTTTTACACGTACTATCATACATACTTATGAGATAGTGTTATGACAGGCTTCTTCTGACTAGCTCACTGTGTGACTCTAGCACTTCTCACTAAATTTCCTTCCCTCCTGTCTTAGTCAGGGTTTCTATTGCTGTGAAGAGACACCATGGTCATGGCAACTCTTATAAAGAAAACACTTACTTGGGGCTGGCTTACGGTTTCAGAAGTTTTTAGTCCGTTATCTTCATGGCAGCGTGCAGGCAGACATGGCGCTGGAGGAGGAGCTGAGAGTTCTGCATCTTGATCTGCAGGCAGCAAAAGGAGATTGTGTGCCACACTGGGTGTAGCTTGAGCATAAGCCTCCTTCCCTGCCAGTGACACACTTCCTCCAACACCACTCCAACAGAGCCATACCTCCTAAGAGTGCCACTCCCTATGGTCCTATAGGGGCCTTTTACTTTCAAAGCACCACACCTACGAAGCATTCTTCTACAACTTTTCTTCCTGATAATAGCAAAGTTTCAGCAAGCCACTTTATGAAAGGTGTTATGCATTTAAAGATTTCTTTATTTATGTATACAGTGTTCTGTCTGCATGTACACCTGCACACCAGAAGAGGACGCTAGATCTCACTATAGATGGTTGTGAGCCACCATGTGGTTGCTGGGAATTGAACTCAGGCTCGACCTCTGGAAGAGCAGCCAGTGCTCTTAACCTCTGAGCCATCTCTCCAGCCAGCCCCAGGTGTTATACATTATAAGATGGATGTCTAGACTTCAAATTAACAGGTTAAAGCATGTAAGATCTTTTTACTACTTGTACACATTCTTTTACAGTCACCAAATCGAAGAATCAACAGAACCAAAGGAAGCCCAAGAGAACACAGTAGCTTTACCTGAGAAAGAAGACAAGTCCCACACGCTCATCATCTCAGAACCTCCAAGTATTCCCAAGTTTCCTTTGAATTCTAAATTCTCCAAAACGTCCTTGTATAAGACCCTCTTTGAAGAGTACAAACTCATCGCCTCTGAAATACTACATGAACTCGAGAAGACATTGAAGAGGTACGCGAAGAATGACATGGCTTTTCCTGGGGGACTCATCAATCTCATGACTTACAGCTGGCTAGATCTGATCGAGGATTCTCACGAGAACGAATCCCCAAAGAAAACGTTGGAAGGAGACAGGGACTTGGGAGGGGATCCCAGCTCCATGTCCATCATCAGCTTCAAGGAATGCAAAGTCCACCCACACGCCAAGGAGCACCCTCAAGAGGAACATCAACTTGTTAAAGCGAGAAAAATTTCTCAGGGAGCACACAACAAACTCTCAGAAAAACCATGTAAGTTGGAGCTACCGGCTGTGTTTATGAGTATTCCGTGATAAGTGAACAAGACCATATGTAGGTGAGATCATGGTAAAGCATGGTCTTAGTGTTGTCTACCTTGCAACAATCATTTCTAGTACTAACTAATGATTGCCAGGAGAAAGAAACATTAAACACAGTATAAAAGCACGTGGTAGTCTTCTCCCTTGGGATTCTCTTGCGGCAATCAATACAGTTTTGAATTAAGAATCAGACATTGATTTATGAGATAAAATTTAGGGATAATATATGTTCCCATCAAAGTTACAGAGGAGCCAGGTGGGGTGTACACCTATGATCTCAGCACTCCCAAGGCTGAGGCAGGATGACTGTTGTGAGTTCAAGGCCAACCTGAGACACAAAGTGAGATCCTGTCTCAAAAAAAAAAAATTTTTTTTTTTTTTAATTTGCAAGGAATCCCATTCTCCCACTCGGAACTTCTAGGATCACCCTGTCCAGCACAGTAAATATTAGCCATGTGTGATTATCTAAATTTGAACTCATAAAAAATTAGGTAAAGTTGAAATTTCAGTTTTTCAGTCTCACTAGTCACAGTTTTTCAGACTCAGGAGTGACGTCTTGTTGGCTGTTTTTCAGACCGTGAATGTTTAAAACATTTTCACCAACACAGGAAGTTCTGTACACTTCTATGGTGTTCTAGGAGGCAATCAGTGTGTGTGTGTGTGTGTGTGTGTGTGTGTGTGTGTGTGTGTGTGTGTGTGAGACCTTTGTTGTTTGAGAAAGGGTCTCACTATGTAGCTCTGGCTAGCCTGGGAACTTCCTGTCCTGCTGGCCTTGAACTCACAGAGCCCTACCTGCCTCTGTTTCTCAGAGTGATGGGACTAAAGGTGTGAGCCACTAAGCCCAGCCGTGTGTGTGTGTGTGTGTGTGTGTGTGTGTGTGTGTGTGTGTGTGTGTGTGTGTGTGTGTGTGTGTGTTTAGCATATTTATAAAACAGTGGAGTCTGCCACCAAATAACTAGGAACTAGAGGAATTATGCTTAAAAATTGTCTCACATGCTTTGGCTTTAATAAAAAAGACAGACGGTTGGAAATGCTGGGGAAATACTGGAAGCTGGGCATGATGGCTCACACTTGCTGTCCCAGGCTATAAACTTTTCATCCTCCTGCCTCTACCTCCTGAGTGCTGGAATTACAGGTGTGGGCCACCAGCTCAGAGGACCTGGCTTCTGGAACCTGCTGTGTGACAAAACTTTTCCTGGGGAGACACAACACACTTGTCTACTCACCCCAGATGGGGAGCCCACAGCAGGCCAAAGTACGGATACCACCCAAGTCCCACTTGGTGACCCAATGAGTTTTATGGGGTCCCTTACAGGAGTAGGAGTGAGGGGTCACTTACAGGAGTAGGGGTGAGGGGTCACTTACAGGAGTAGGGGTGAGGGGTCACTTACAGGAGTAGGGGTGAGGGGTCACTTACAGGAGTAGGGGTGAGGGGTTACTTACAGAATATGGGTGAGGGGTCACTTACAGGAGCAGAAATGACTCACAGACAGCTGCATCACCAAAGCCCACCCCAGCACAGGTGACAGCTCCCAAACCCGGGAACCTGGAGCACACTGCACAGCCTGCAGGCAGCTCAGCAGGCTGGAGAGTGGCCTTTCCAGGCGCCTCGATTGGTCTACACCTCTTCCAGACAGCTCTTGTTTCTGCTTCTTCCAGACAACTGGTCTGGTTTCAGAGTCTTGTTGGCAGCTCTGTTTGCCTGAGAGGGAATCTCAGGTTTTTGTTTGTTTGTTTGTTTGTTTGTTTTAATTTTTGTTTGTTTTTTGTTTTTTTCGATTTTTAAAATTCACTTTACATACCAACCACAGATCCCTCTCTCATCCCTCCTCCTGCTCTCCCCGAGCCTCCCACCCCCACCCCCCACCCCCAAGTCTCAGCTTTTATTGCTTACTCTGGCCAGGAGGGGGCTAGAGAATCTGGTCAGCTTCAGAGACTTCCTGAAGCTCTTTTGAGTTCTTTCCCTTCCTGCTTAAGGAAATTCTCTGTAGGATGTTCAATCTAGAGGAAGTTTACACAGCAGCACCCTATGAATGAGGACAAATGGGTGGACTCAGAGATACATTAGTGTCAAGAGCCAGTAAACTTAACAGGCAGTTTTTTGTTGGTGTTTTGGTTCTTGTTTGTTTGTTTGGTTGGTTGGTTGCTTTTTGTTTGTTTTGGGTTTTTTTTGTTTTTGGTTTTGTTTGTTTGTTTGTTTGATTTATTGAGACAGGGTTTGAAGGGACTGTGGTCAGCTTGAGGATGGTGGGCATGGCTTTGGCAGGCCTTGCCCTTCTCCCCAATTCCCTCTGCCTTGGTAAAAACCATTGGATTGCATTCCCAAAGCTAGCCACCAAGGTCTAATGCTTTATTTGGCCACTTCCTCCTCCTGAGGCTGACTTCCAAGGTCCAGCTACTGAAGTACTGAAGTCCAGCGATCAAAAGTCCCCTTTGACTGCCCTAATTAACATGACCAATTAAAATGAAACACCTCCTCCTAACAACCTAGAAGGTTTCCCCTTTTCCCTTTATAAACTGACATTTTCCTATGGGCCACCACGTCTGTCTCCTCTGTATCCAAAGACAGTCCTTTGTCATTATCCCCCCGCACCCCGACCCCAGGACAAACATCCCTTCCCCCTTCTCCCTTGCTCCCTTCCCCTTCTCCCTCTTCCTCTGTCTCCTGTTTTTGTCCCTTATCCCTGCCTTTTGTCCCTCTGGGGCAAATAAGTCTCCTCTGTGCTGAGAACTTGGTCTTAGGTGTTCTGAGCCAATACCGATACCCTTACAAAGTTTCCCTGTGTAGCCCTGGCTATCCTGAAACTTTGTAGACGAGGCTGGCCTCCAACTCACAGAGATTCACCTGCCTCTGCCTCCTGAGGGCTGGGATTAAAGGCGTGCATCACAGTGCCTGGCCTTTTTTTTTTTTTTTTTAATTCTTAGGCAGTATTTTCCATGAACAGAGCCTCCCTCCCCTTTGTTGGCATTTGTGTCTGTTATTCATTTAACGTTCAGTTTTGGTTGAAACGCATGCAGGAAACTCAAGGTACAGTTGAGAGCTGCCTTAAAGGAGGAAGCCGCCATGAAAGTGTCCCTTTCCGCTCTTCTGCTACAGGAAATGTCATCGTCTGATGACCCCAAAGGCTCAGACATTCCTCTTTGCCCATTCCTTGGGGACATGGGGCACTTGTGAGCGGCTCTCTCTTAAAGACTTCGCCATGGCTTTGTTGACCGCTCTTAGGCCGCAATGCACTATTATCAGGTGTTCCAACCAACTTTCTTTCCTCTCTCTTTTCCTCTCTGGGACTCAGTTTCATGCCACTGCCTGAGAGGTGGCTCCTGCCCTCCTCTACATCCCTCCCTTCTTGTTCTCTCAAGCATTTTGCCCAATACATTCCTAATATATGTCTCGTTCTACATTAACATTTGATTCTCGGAAGCCCTGTCTCCACACAGAAACTTCCCAGAATCCTGCCCACCAACAAGATCCCCGGACCAGTTCTTCCCCAGCAGCCAGCTTTATCTTGATAACAGGGAATTTGGTAGTTCTGAGTGTCGGGAGGATAAGGGTGCGTGAAGCATTTCACGTAGGTTAGATCTTTCATTTTCACGACAGGACAGGTAACAGTCTTTAGAGCTGTAAAAGCTCCAGAAGCCCTTTGTAATCTCTCTCTCTCTCTCTCTCTCTCTCTCTCTCTCTCTCTCTCTTTTGCTTTTCCGAGACAGGGTTTCTTTGTGTAGCTTTGCGCCTTTCCTGGAACTCACTCTGTAGCCCAGGCTGGCCTTGAACTCACAGAGATCCGCCTGGCTCTGCCTCCTGAGTGCTGGGATTAAAGGCGTACGTGCCCCACGGGGGGGGGGGGGGGGGGGGGGGGGGGGGGGGGGGGGGGGGCGCGACATCTCACAGTCTCTTAAGGAATCAAGAAATTATGCAGAGGCATTTCCAGTTTTAAAAGCTGATTCATTTAAGTTGCAAATGGTTGAAAATATCTTATGGTTATTATTGGGACTTATTTTATTGGCTTTTTTTTTTTTTGAGACAGGGTCTCACTATATAGACCAGGTTGGCGCTGAACTCACAGAGATCTGCCTGCCTCAGCCTCCCAAGAGCTGGGAGTAAAGGCACATCTCACCACACCAGACTATTATTGGTGTTTATTGAAATCTTTATTAGCATCTGGGTAGGAATGTTATTTACCAATCATTTGGTTTTCTGTTGATGATGTTCTAGAGAGGCGTTTTTTTATCTTCTCCTTCTCCTCACCTCCTCCTAATATCTCTCCATCTTCCCTCCTTCTAGCTCTACTCGGTCACCCCCAGGCATCCCAGACCACCCAGGAGAGCTGTATATCCGGGGTCATTCACTTCTCACTAAAATCCAAGTTCTGCTTTCAAAATGGTAAGACCTCGTACTCATCAGGGTCAACTCTGATATGCAATCAGAGTGAGGTCACTTCTGTTTCCCACGTTCAAGACTTTTTCTAAGCTGTCCTTTTATTGCATTCTCCGTCACTGAAGTTCCCAGGTTCCAAGTAAGCTTGTCAAAGGCCTCCCCTTTGAGTTAGCCATCTCTGATGTTACTACCCTATGTTCTGGAAGCTTATCCCTCATGGTTCTGAGAAGCCAGGTTTGGTGGCAATAATGTTCATATTCTTGGAAGAGAGAGGCCCAGGACCTTTCTGTCATAGTATCAAATTACTCTGAACCAAGAACAAAGGTTTGTGTGTCCAAAGGCGAACTTGCATTCTTAAACTCTGTAAATGTTACCAAGGAGACTCCCCAAGGAAGAGTATATTGCAGAAGATGAAAGGATGCTGTGGACTCTTGGATACGCTTACAAAGTGGATGATATATGAATATCAGGAAAGGGGAACCTTGGTGCTCAGGCATGATCTAGCCAGGGACTGTGCAGTCAGAGAATACACGGGAAGTAAGATGGACTTCTCTGGGCCCCATGGGCTTGCTTTCTATGGCCCTTTATCTTAAACCTAAGAACGGTATGAAATGTTAAGGGATTCTTGGAGAAGCGCTTGGATACCAGGTGTGTCTCCGTGCTCCCCATCCATCTGCACAGAATGTATTCAGGGATCAGAATCTGGGGCTGACCTGGCTCTCAGGGTGGGTCAGGTGTTGAGGAAATAGGTGCATCCAAGCAGAGCACATGGGACAAACTCCAAGCAGGAGAAAACACATAAGAACCAGAACTCCGACACGTAAATATCCAGGAATTCATCAGGTGCCCCAATGACAGGAAGTGTCTCACAGGCAATCAAATGACAGGTCAGTGGCCAGCTCCCTCTGTAGTCTGTGAGAAGGATCCAGGCCTTGGTCATCAAAGGGCAGGTTTGGGGATTGGGAGCGGAAAGGACATTATCTGGTCCCACAGAAACCAGGATGCAGTCCATTTAATCTTCGTCTCTAAGACAAGGCTAGTTCTTATGATCTTGTGAAGATAAGCCTGATTGAAGGTGATCGTGGTTGGGTCTGGACTCTTGCTGGTAAAAGGCAGTTCAACTCATAGTAGCTTAAGCAATAATTCTTTGTCCATGTCCCGGGAGCAGGGGGATCATTTACAAGAAGCAAAGGAAGAACTGTCGGAGCAGAGGCCAGGGCAGGTGCGGGCCTCAGCCTCCCAGGAGCTCTGCTCTACTGCCTCTGTGCTCCCACCAAATGAAGAGGAAAATAGTCCCTGCTGTTCTTAAAGCTACCTGTTCCTTGCTTAGGAAGAAGGCACATGTCAACCCCATGTACTGCCCAATGAGCTCTGTTTGAGTCAGACTACCCAATCACGGTAGCCTGGAAGACCGAGTAATATTGTTGGTCAACCTGGTTTATTGGCTCAGGGACGGCGAGGGATCTTTAGTTAGTTCACTTTCAGTGGAAGGGAAGAAATTCCATAGTCTTGTGAGAGAGGGTGATGTTTGTTCCCAACCTAGGCTACCATGGGACGAGGAGGTGGTGAACACAAAGGCGCCACACTGCCCCCTGCCGGTGTCAACTAAAGCCATGGGTAAAATGAAGAGCAGGGGGCTGGAGAGATGGCTCAGCAGTTACGAGCATTGACCGCTCTTCCAGAGGACCTGGGTTTGATTCCTAGCACCCACATAACAGCTCACAACTGTCTGTAACTCCAGTTCCAGGGGACCTGACACTCTCACACAGACATACATTGCAGGGAAAACACCAATGGGTTTGGTCCTCAGCTCTGGGGGAAAAAAATAAAATAATATAAATAAGTAAACGAAGAGCAGCTCATATAGGCAAGGCCCTGGAGATGGAACATGAGTGTCATTCTGGAGACATGTCTCTCTTCCCTTTGCACAAGGCAACATTCTAGATGGTGATGATGTTGCTCACGTGGGAGGAGCCATGTTTCCCATTCTCCCTGTCATTTATGGACTTGGTGGGATGCAATGAGGAAATGACAGATTCTCTTCTAAACCCCTCCTCTCCCCTCCCTAAACTGCCCAGGGGCCTATCTAGTTTTTTACTACAAGGGCAGAATTTTTACAAAAGAAGATTAGAACTGAGAGGGGCCTTAGCTACCACCTCACTCAAGTTCCTCATCTTACACATGAGGGAAAAAATAAAAAGTGCAGAGATGTTGAGTTTATTCCTCAAGTTCGTTAGACCTCAAATCCATCCGATGACAACTGACCCAAAGTTCTTTCTGGCAGATAGGACTCTGTCCCCAGTCTTGGGTGCAGGGGTGATGGGGACTCTGGTCTACAGTGGCTCTGTCCAGAGCGTAGGGATTCAGGGAAGACTCAGATGGCATTGTATGTAGGGATTGACTCACTTGGGGTTAGAGCTCTCATTCTGTTGCAATGCAAATGCCTTTAAGAAGAGATTGTTTTTGTTTTTTTTTGTGTTTAAAGATTTATTTATTTGTTGTGTATACAGTGTTCTGCCTGCATGCCAGAAGAGGGCGCCAGATCTCATTATAGATGGTTATGAGCCACCATGTGGTTGCTGGGAATTGAACTCAGGTCCTCCGGAAGAGCAGCCAGTGCTCTTAACCTCTGAGCCATCTCTCCAGCCCCGAGAAGAGATGGTTTTAAGGGCACAATTATGCATAGTTTAACACAATTGGGTATGTCTTCCTTTCGAAATAGGCTCTGGTAGACTTGTGGCATGGTTTACCCAGCCAGTCCGGGTTGGGTATATATGTTTTAAACTACCTCTTTGGTGTTGAATATGTGTGTTGTCTTTTTAAAGGTTGGATTCCTTGCTCAAAATGGGAAATGCTGAAATTCAAGGCGGACCTCAGTACAGCCGTGAAGACACTGCAGATCGCCACAGTTCGAATGTAAGGCGCCTCCTTCCGTCCTGCAGTTAACATACTTATATGAGGTAGAGGACACGGTCAGCCGGAACAGGGGCAGAGCCTGAGGCACTGGGCACGGGTCACGGGATCACCACATCACACTGCCGTTGTGTCTGTAATGTGAAAAAAATATACAAACACTCCCTCCTCCTTCCTCCCCTACTCTTCTCTCTCCTTCCCTCTCCCATCCCCTCTCCTCTCTCCCCCTCCACTCCCCTCTTCCCTCTTCTCCCCTCCTCTCCTCTGCTTTCTGCTTCTCTTCACTTCCTGGTAATGCATGGGAAATTCATGATGATGTGGTCAGTCTGTCAGCTCCGTCAGGTGACTAAGACAGCATCATGTTCCAAAATGTGGAGAAGAGAGGGAGGAAAGGCAGGTGTCAAAGAAATAAAAGGCAGCTAGGGTATTATTTTATAGTTGTTTTTAATGTGAAAACAATGTTAAAGGAACTTGTCATCTACAACAGGGGCCTGAACGTTTCAGGACATTGAGACTCAATGGAGGACAGACGCAACCCTTAGGAGGCTGGGATAATGGTGGGCACGATCGACGATTACTTTGCGCTACATAGCAGGCCTGATGCTTGGCACGTGACACCCACACTCCTCCCAGAAGCCCCATGAGAGAGTTCTGTAATCATCTCTCTCTTACTGATGAAGAAATTAGCATACCCCTCAGTGTGTCGATCTGCTCACAGCCTTATGCTACAGATAGGCAGAGCTAGACGTAAAACCCAGAACACCTACTGTTTTTGTGTGTGGTCCTTGCCCGGTCTCTTATGAGTGACACCGGGGGTAGCCTGCAAATGTAATACATGCTCAGTGTTTAGTTTTGTTTTAAATTGAAATGTAAGACAGGAATTAAAAACATAATCTTTCACCGGGCAGTGGTGGCGCACGCCTTTAATCCCAGCACTTGGGAGGCAGAGCCAGGCGGATCTCTGTGAGTTCGAGGCCAGCCTGGTCTCCAAAGCGAGTTCCAGAAAGGCGCAAAGCTACACAGAGAAACCCTGTCTCGAAAAGCAAAAAAAAAAAAAAACAAAAACATAATCTTTCTACCAGGATAATACTATTTTTACATTTTGGCATATTTCTTTAACCTTTTCTCCAAACATGCATGCATACATATCTTCATCCAGTCCTCCGCACATATATGTAGTAGATACATAACATGTATTTTATGTATGTTTATAAGGCATCAGATCCCTTGGAGACAGTTGTGAGCCTCCATGTGGGTGCTGGGACTCAAACCTGGATCCTCTGAAAGAGGAGCCAGTGCTATTAACCCCTAAACTCTTTCTCCAGCCCTAAAAACACCTTTTGAATATCAATTTGATCTTGCCTTATTTTTTCTCTTCATTTGACCACAAAGATTTCCCCGTGCTTTTAAATTCTTCAGAAACAAAATGTTGACTGACTGCTCAGGTTCCCAAGCAGAGGTGGCTCCTGAGGGTTTTTAAACCAGTTACATTTCTACAACCACCCTGAACATGTGTTTGGGGGGGGGCGGGGGGGGGTCTTCTTGAAGAGAGTCTGTTGAAAGCGGAGCTTGTTAAAAAGATACAAGCATTTAAGGTTCTAGAGACATATTGCCATTTGCTTTCCAGAAAATCATGTCGACTAGTCCTCCACAGCAATGTAAGAGAAGCCCCACCTCTTATTTTAAATTAATTAATTAATTAATTAATTTAAAAAAATTCTTTTGGGGGGTGGTGTTTCGAGACAGGGTTTCTCTGTGTAGTTCTGGCTGTCCTGAAACTCACTTTGTAGACCAGGCTGACCGTGAACTCACAGAGATCCACTCGCCTCTGTCTCCCTGGTGCTGGGACTAAGGGTGTGCACCACCACCGCCCGGCCCGGCTTACTTTCTACTCTTTTTGTGTGTGCATGCACATTCTCACATGTGAGAGCGTGCAAGCATGTATGCCGGTGCATGAGAAGGTCAGAGGTCAAGGCTGACTGTCCTTCTAAGTTGTTCTCCACCTTATTTTATTGTTATTGTTTTTGAGACAGGATCTCACGGCATGGCCCTGAGCAACCTAGAGCTCTCTTGGCAGACCAGGCTGGCCTTGAACTCACAGAGATCTGTCTGCCTCTGCTGGAATTAAAGACTACTACGCCTGGCCCCTCTACCTTCTTTTTGAGACAGGATCTCCCACTGAACCTGGTGCTGGCTAATTTTGCTAGACGGGGCGGCCAGCAGGCCCCAGGGGTTCTTCTCCCTCTGCCTCCCCAGTGCTGGAGTTAGAGGTGTGCCCCAGCACGTCCAGCTTTTGGGTGGGCACTAGGGACTGAACTAGCATCTTGGTTCTTTGTTTACTGACTGGATCGCCATTGCAGCCCCCCTTTTACCCCCCCCCCCACACACATTTAACTGAAACGTCTGTGTATACAGTGTAAGGTAGAGAGATTACAGCTCTGTGCCTGCCTTGTCAATGGTAACGATAGCTGAGTGCCAATAATAATAAAGTTTACAAAAGGCTCGTTTGGGGTAAGGCACGGTGTGAAACACTCACATGTTCCCGTGAGGTGGTGTTTGGTTTTCTTCTGTTTGACGTGGTTTGTGTGTCGTCCTGGGAATTGACTCCAACACCCCGTGCCCACTAGCCAGGCCCTCTCCACCAAGTTGCCTGCTGTTTGTATGCCAAGTAGAGCCTTAGGAAGTGGGTGAGCAGCTGTCTTCCCTTAGGGCTGTCTGATCCCCAGACCTGTGTGCTGAACAACGACGACACCCCACTGTCTCCCTAGGGCCATTTACCAAACGCACTCCCCATCCCTGATGATCTGTCTTGGTTCCACTGTATCATCCTTACGTACTTCAAGTCTTCACCATACTTCCGTTATCCAGGCTATGTGAACATGAGAAGGGCAGTTGAGGTGTCTAACAGATAGGGGTAAAATCCCAGCTCAATCAACTCCAGTGACCTTGAGAAAATCACCTGTTTTTCCCCTGTGCCTCACTTTTCTCATCTGTAAAATGGGGACAACAACAGGCATTTTGATGTAAGGTTATTGTAAAGAGTTTTACACAAGTAGTACTAAGTAAATGCTAATTATTACTCTCTTGAATCTGCACAACAAGTCTGCACTGGCCGCTCTTTCTCTGTTAAAGTATGTTAGCCATTTTTACCAATTTATTCTTGCAAGTGAATTTAGGACTAGTTTTTAAAATTTAGAAGACCTCCAAAGTAATTTTAAAGAAAGGAAAGTCATAATTGCAGGGGGGACGTGGGGAAGGCTGTACTTTCTGCTCAGTTTTACTGTAAACCCTATACCTTTCTGATATAAACAGCGGCCCCGTCTTGTTTCTTTTTAACTGAAAAAACAAAATGATGAACGTTCAGGTTAGAACACACAGGTTCATCAGACATCGGGTGTGGGATCTAGTCTCAGTCACCTGGACTCTCTGAACCCGAATCTTGTCATCATTCGGGGACAGTAGCATTAGCTCCTGCAGATGCTGATGATGCCCATAGCAGCTCATTTTCCAGTAGCATGTCCTGCGGGAACAAAGGCACTAAGCTTGTTAAAGACGTCAAATGTCTGCTGCCGTCCGCCGTCCGCCGTCCGCCATCCGAGGAGACTTTGTGAAAGCAGCGGCTTTAGAGGAGGTGGCTTGACATGAATAAATAAATAAAATGTGGAAGAGCAGAGTCTCGCTGCAGGGAGCAGCCGGGATGGGAAGGAGAACCCAGCCCACAGCGGGGAGCTGTGTCAAGAGGAGGTGCCTTAGTCATGGGATTCGCTAAAGCTGCTTGAGTGAGTTCCCCAGGGACCTGCCAGGCACAGAATCCATGCTTGTAAGAAGTTTTACAACATCTGTATTACAAAGCACTTCTGTGTGCTGGGTGGTGGAGCACACACTCAGGAGGCAGAGGCAGGCGGATGTCTGAGTTCTGAGACCAGCCTGGTCTACAGAGAGAGTTCCAGGACAGCCAGGGCTACGCAGAAAAATCCCATCTCTCTCTCTCACACACACACACACACACACACACACACACACACACACACACACACCCCAAACAAACAAACAAACAAAACAGCAAAACAGACAAAATCCCAAAACAGCAACAACAAAACACTTCTGTGAGAAAAAGAGCTGAAGAAACATCTGGTCATTAACATTTGAGAATTCATGGAGAAAAACCGAATGCTTGAGGGAATGAAGCAGTTTTGACAAACCAGAACTTTGGGCCTCTTATCCCATGATACCTTCTTAACACAGAACTTATAGGTTTATGAAGAGCTAACGAGAGAATCCTTTCTAACCCCAGTCACAGGTCTGTAGTGGGACAGGCTCTGTGGATTTGATCATTGACCCGATCCCAAGGCACTTGCTAAAGCAGAGCTGACATTTTTTGCTCTTTTGGGGGCCCACCACCCAGCTCCCAAATAAATCACACATAGAGGCTTATTATTACTTAGAAATATCCGGCCTTAGCTTGGCTTGTTTCTCACCAGCTTTCCTTACCTTAAATTATCCTGTCTACCTTTTGCCTCTGGGCTTTTCCCATTCTCTTACTTCTATAAATCTTACTCATACTCCATGGCTTGCTGTGTAGCTGGGTGACTGGCCCCTCATATCCTCCTCCTCCTTCTCTGGCTCCTTCTATATCTCTCCTCCCACATTTCTCCTTCTATATATTCTCTCTGCCTGCCAGCCCCACCTATCCTTTCTCCTGCCTGTCTATTGGCCGTTCAGCTCTTTGTTAGACCATCAGGTGTTTTAGACAGGCACAGTAACACAGCTTCACAGAGTTAAACAAATGCAGCATAAACAAAAGTAACACACCTTAAAATAACAATACTCTACAACACAGAGCATAGCCATGACAGTGTCTACGTGGGCCAGACAGCTCCGGGCTATAGTGGGGACCCTTTGGTTCAATAGTTAGTTTTATTTTTGTTTTTCTCATATTTTTCTCTAGAGTGTGGTGGTGTAAAGTACTAGACTGGGTATCCCTGACTTGCTTTTAATGCTAA